CTTGTGCTGGGGCCAGGGATCTGGTCACTGGCTTTCTGCATGGGGGCCTCAAGTGCTGGTGGCTTGCCTTCTGTGCTGGGGTAGGTCAGCCTAGTCACACCTATTATGTAAGGGTTTGGGGGCTGGCAATTTGCTATCTGTGCTGGAGCTGGAAACCTCACAGTTGGCCTGTGTGTGCCATTAGCCTGCTAAGCCAGGACCAAGGGGACTTTGTTGCTGTGCTATGGCTAAGAGCTTCCCATTGGCTTGCCCAGACACCATCTGTGCTTGGCTGTGCTCCCCTTTTACCCAAGTAGGACAGACCTTTCCTGAAGTCCTTCTAAGTTATTTTAAGCTGGAAATTTGTTTCACTCTGTCTTTTTGTGGGTTCTGTAACTCCAGAATCCATGTAGAGGCTTGATTTAACATTGTTTCTAAGGGAAACTGGGGAGAGCTCAAGCAACTTCCTGGCTTCTCTCCACCATCTTGGCTCAGCCTATGTGAATGTTTAAACCATTTTTTCAGTCTTAAATATGAGGTCATCCTCATTTTCTTTTGTGGAAAAGCAATACCGTTGCTCTCTAATTTTTTATGTATCTTTTTTATACCATTTTTTTGTATAACCCTATATTGGACTATGGAGCCATGAGGCGACAGGACCCCTGTAGCCCATGAAAGACCATAAGAACACTTAAATGCTAATATTACCAAGCAGTATAAGTGAACAGGTGCAAATTGAGCACTTTCATGCTGAGTGGAAACCTAACACAAGAAGTTATCAAAATGGAATAAATTAGGAAACACTTGAGTAGAAGAGGAAAAATGTAAAACATTAAGAAGGGATAACATAAGTTAGCAAAGAAAATCATGGAGAATGCCAGATTTAGGAAAGCAATTTATACAAAAGTTTACAGAAAGAAACAGAGAAGTCATGTGTGCTGAATAGGAAACAAATGAAAAATGGCCAATCTTTTTTTAATGAATAAATACAGAAAAATCTGGGAATATTTATATGAAGTGATGCAAGGTAGAGAAGTAGAATCAAATACATATAGCAATTACACAGGTTACAACAATGTAAAAATAATAATTAAAGAAACATCCCCTAAAAAAATACAGAATAAAAAAGATGTCATAAAGAGACATGAAAGAAAACAAGGCATTTTGCTATTTGTAACAGTTTCATGTATACATTTTTAACAAATTTTAGATTTGGGGTTTTATGAACTTTTTATTTTGCTTATTATTTTAATTGTTTTGCTAATTCCTACTAAGTTTATTACTTAAAAGTCTAAAGATTAAGAAAAAGTATAGCTAATATAAATATTAAATAAATATCAAATATTACATTAGGTTTAAATTAATATTAATAATACTAAATAAATAAAAATAAATAATAAAAGTATAGCTAAAATATAATGGCTAAATCATAGGTTCAATATAAAAATAATTAAAGATGATTATAAAATCCCTGTAGCCCATGCTCTCTGATTATCCCTTCTGAACTTTCTTGACCTTCTGTCCCAAATTTCTTAACTATCTCACAGAAGTCCCAACTAAAGCAGGTTAATTGTCTATATAGGGAATTCTCCTCATTAGGGTGATGAAGTTATCTAGAGACTGAAGGCTCCAAGGAACTTAAAAAGACACAGTGATTGTGTTCCGTTTTTACATGATCTCTTCTATATGAAGAAGGAGCCAATTTCCAAATTGGGCTGGTGCAGACACCATCTCCCTTCACTTGATTGTTTCTTAAAGTCTAAAGTCAGATACCATGTCATCAGCCATATATTAGAAGTGCTCTGCAGAGTTCTGAAGGAATCAAGGATTCACTCTCTGCAAAAAGAAATATTCACATATGGGTTTGTATTTCTGCATATGTGTATATGTTATGTTATTTCAGGGTATGTATATTTACACATACATATATATGGGTAACAATATGGATTCGCCTTTATGTGTAATTAAGAAAGCATGTTAATGTATATGTGCCATTGTGCTGTTTTAAATGTTCGTGTGTACACTTGTGCATATATGTTGTGTGGATTTGTATGATTTTGTTATTCATGCTAGAATGTTGTCATGTGCATTTATGCTTTTTGTGTATTTTTGTGGTTTTGCATTTATTTGCGAATATGCTTATGTGACTATTTTATCACACTTGAAATGAGACCAGAGAGGTAATCAAACTCTTAAACAACCAATGGAGTTTCTGTCTCTTTCTCTTTCTACAGGCTCCTCCAAATACAAGAGAGCCAGGATATTTTATCTGCTGACCTGAAATAGAGGTTTTCATGGTCCCTTCCTTCCCTAGAGGTCTGAAATTTAAGTAATGAGAAGTAGAAAGGAAATTAGGCAAAGTCAAAGCACATCAAGTTGGGAGTTAATCAAAGAGAGGAAGAGGAGTATGAAAAACAAAAGGGAAAAGGAGAAAGGACATAGAATAAAGGGTAAGGGAAAAGATAGAAAATGAAGGTTAAATAGAAGAGAAAGTTAAAAGGATAGAGGAGAAAAAGAACAGAAAATGTAGAAAGAGATAAAGAACAAAAAATAAAAATGTTGGAGGACAGAGTCCCTTGACCAGGAAAAGACTTTTTCATAATGTGAGGAAGAAGCTGATTTCTAGGTGTGGTTATTACAAAGTGCCAGAAGATGAGGGTAAGATATTCCTGAGGATAGTAAAGCACAAAGTACAGAAAAGTGTGAATGGCAAAAGAAGGGCTGAAAAGAACCAATCTCCCACCTTAAAGGGAAGCCAAAAATAAAAGGTCACTCTCTATATATACTCTCTCTTGTGGAGAGATGCCAGAGAAAAACAAAATATAGTCCTTGCCCTTGAATTATTTAGAATCTATGGTCCAGGCCTGTGATTTCATCATTCTAGGGAACTCGTGAGGTGGAAACCTCCTCTACCTATGCAGAACAGGACCCCATCCATAACTTATGGTCATAAAGAGTGCTTTAGAGCACTGAGTGAATTGTCTACCTGACTTCAAGTCCAGCTCTCTACACCAGGTTCTACACCTCTCATTTATAGAACACATTGGGAGACAAAACACAAAGAGATGAAGAAATTATTACAAAACAATATGTCAACAAGTACAAATAAATACAGTTCACAGAACATAGAACACAGGAATCAAGAAAAGCCTTCTGAAGGAAAGACATTAGAAACTACATCCATATATCCCCTTGAATGTTCTGGCTCATATAGAGTGATGCATCCTTCTCACTTACAGAACTACAAAATTTCAAAATTGAATCCCAGGGATCATGTAGAACTATCCATGCTGGAACCAGAATCCATTCTACAATATCTCTTTCTAGCTTCTGCTTAGTAACTCCAGAGGCAGTGTGCTCCACTCTGGAACAGCTCTAACTCTAAGGAAATGTTCCTTTCTATGAAGCCAAAAGGATCCTCTCAGATACTTTGACCCTAGTTCTGTCCTCTGGTGTCAATAAAAACCATATATAATAGCTCTTTCACATGAAAGTCCTTCAAAATAAATTATGGCAAAAGAAAGGAAAAACAAGAAAGATCAATGCTCCTCAAGCACCAAGAGAACTACTTATGCAAACAGGAACAGAAAGGATAGCAAGATTTGATGGTAATATCTCTTGTCTTGGCACCCAGAGGCAAACACGTTGATTGACTGATCACATATTAGATCTTAAATTTTTTTTATCAGCTTTGGTGGAACAAAAAAGTCCTTTGACTTTGACTCTCCCTATCCAAAAAAAAAAAATCCTAATAGAAATTAATAGGAAGAATGATACTACTTTGTGAAGATATCAGAAATATAAAGATCCTCACATTAACCATATTGACTCTACAACCAGGAAAGATAGGGTGCCATAATGGAAAGAGTCAAGATACTATAAGTCAAAGGACTTGGATATTTCTCTTGGATCTTCCAGGGCTGTTAGACCTTGGCCACATATAAACTCTTTATGACTCAGCTTCTTCATCAGAGAATTGAGGATTATACCACTTTACCTACCCACACCCACATAAATACTGTAAAGATCCACTGGAATATCATATGTAAATGTGCTTCACAAAATTGTAGAGGACTATACAGATTGTTGGGGTTTTGTTTTGTTTGTCTGAACCTGTGACCATCAGTCAATGGGAAACTACCAAATTCCTATTTTGCTGATGAGCAACTTTCTCTAGTTAATCACTGTAGAGAACTACTTAAAACATTAATTCAGCCATGGTCACCAGCTAGCCTGTGTCAGAAGCAGGGCTTCTTGATTCAAAGTCCACACTTTTATCCTAAATCAAACTGTCTCTCTCTATAAATATATGGGGGGGGGTGTTAATTACTATTATACAAGAAACCATACCCTTGGAGACCAGACTTTGAGAACTGTTCTACAATAAGCATCCACAATTCTGATTTCATTCCCAACTTACTGTTTACCATTCTATACTTACATTTATTCCACTGTTGATACTAGCAGCTTCTGCCACCATTGTGCATTTTGAGGACACAGTGAATAAAGAAATATTATAGAAAAAACAAACAAACAAGCATGAAGTCTTAGGGAATAGGGGTAATTAGAAAGTACCTACAAAAATCCAGGTACTGTTAAAAATGTAGTATCAAAATGAGCTGAGTGGTAGAAACAATAAAGCTAGTCTGTTGAAATCTTAATAACTTGGTTCTTCTAGTGAATAGTGAGTGTACCTCACAATATCCATTCATGTAGTTCATTTAGGACCAAAACAGGGCAAGGCATTTTTAAGCAGGAAAAATCAATAATAAGAGATACCTTTTATTGGCCATGAATAATAGGCATCAAATGTAAAATGAGTTATAGCTCCTAATTTACATTATTATGAAATCATAGCATATATGGAATTATTTTTCTGTGATGAATAGGTTATTACAGAAATTTATCTTTCCCCACAGTAGCAATGTATAATATGCATTTGGGTTCATTAATGGTGATAATCACTAGCTTTTTTTAAAAAGTTACTATCTTCACCACTTCCTTAGCAACTGTCCCCTAGTTTTGCCAACAAAAATCTGGCCTTCACTTGCTTGACCTTCGGAGGCCAAAAAACATGAACACTGGGCCTTGAAATTCCTCCATTAAAAATGCATGTCTTTATCCACCTCCCAGAAAAATCATGCTTTGGTGTAAGAAGTCTCTTTTAAAACGAAAATAGTAGGGAGGGAAGGAAAACTTGAGGGCCACTATCCAGCAGAAGCATCATGGCATAGTGAAAACAAAGCTGGAGTTAGATGTAAGACACTTGAGTCCCAGCCCAGACACTTACTAGCAGTGGCACCTGTGGCAAGATACTTCCCTTCTCTGATCCTCAATTCCCTCATCTGTAAAATGGCTATAATAATACTTTCGCTTTTGTGGGGAAATTGTTCCTTTAAACCCTTAAGGGCTACAGAAACGCTACCTATGAATGAGTCTCAGAGCAGTCTTTCTCACAGAAGGTATCAATGCCCTAAGTTGATGGGAAAACAGACATAGAAATGGGAGGTGGGGCAATGGAAGACTAAATGCCAATGTTGACTTGAGCATTTCATAAAGCTGTGCTTGTGGTGACCGGTCCTAAAGTAACCCAGACTCTCCCTTGGCACGCTCTTCTTCACCCAGCCCCTGGGAATCATATGACCTGATGTCTACCAACACTTCAAGGGTTGTAACAGATTTCATCCTCGTGGGCTTCTCTCATCTCATGGGTTTCCAGGGTCTCCTCTTCATCCTCTTCCTCACCATCTACCTGTTCACCGTGGCTGGCAACCTCCTCATCGTGGCCTTAGTCTCCGTCGATGCCAAGCTCCATTCACCCATGTACTTCTTCCTCCGCATCCTCTCAGCCCTGGAGATCTGCTACACCTCCGTCACCGTCCCGCTTGTGCTCCACCACCTCCGGACCGGGAGGCGCCGGATCCCCAGAGTTGGCTGCGCCCTCCAGATGTTCTTCTTCCTCTTCTTTGGGGCCACCGAATGCTGTCTCCTAGCTGCCATGGCTTACGACCGCTATGCTGCCATCTGCACCCCACTCCGCTACCCGCTCCTGCTGAACCGCCGGGTGTGCCTGCAGTTGGCTGCAGGAGCCTGGACTTGCGGGGCTCTGGTGGGACTTGGCCACACCTCTTTCATCTTCTCTCTGTCCTTCTGTGGGCCCAATGCAATCCCTCACTTCTTCTGCGAGATTCAGCCAGTGATGCAGCTAGTCTGCAGGGACACGTCGCTCAACGAGCTGCAGGTCATTTTGGCTGCCGCCCTTATCATCTTTTGCCCCTTTGGGCTGATCCTGGTCTCCTACGGTAAGATCCTAACCACAATTGTACGGATCCCATCTGCTGCAGGACGCTGCAAGGCCTTCTCCACCTGCTCCTCACATCTGCTTGTGGTTACCCTTTTTTATGGCACAGCCATCTTCATCTACATCCGCCCTAAGGCCAGCTACGACCCAACCACGGATCCACTGTTGTCTCTCTTCTATGCCGTGGTTACTCCTATCCTCAATCCTGTGATCTACAGCCTTCGTAATGCTGACGTCAAGGCAGCCCTCAAGAGGACTCTCAGGAAGATGAGTTCCAAAGAGATGTAGGGCAGCGGTGATCATCACCCAGCATACCTAACCAGAAAAAAAAAAAGTTCCCACTACCACCACCAGCAGCAGCACCACCACCACCAACAGAACACCTAATCTGCTGGGGTGGACACAGTCCCTTGACCTTGGGAATTCCTGAATTTGATAAGGAAGACAGTGGCTCTATTCTTGAAGATGTCTCAGACTGAGGAAAATAGGGTAAACAGAGAATTAGGATCAGCTGGCTACTGAAAAGTATATTTGTATCTAAATACCAGGTCTTATTAGCTGTTGTACATACTGTTGTAAGAAATGTTATGTTACTAGAGTAACACATCTCCTAGCCCCCATAACAACTATAACTGACTAATTTATATCATGCCTTATAATTTGCAAAGGGCTTTCCTCAACACAACCCAGGAACCATGATAGGCTGGTATTATTATTCCCATTTCACATATGAGGGAACTGAGAAGTTAAATGACTTATCCCATTTCCCACAACTAGTAAGTGATATAACCCAGACTCCAAGTACAGTGGTCCACTGCATTAAAATATCTCTTCATTTCAAGGATTCTTAAACTGAGGTCCATGCATTTTTTAACTTTAATAACTATTTCCATACAATTGGTTTCCCTTGAAATCCTGCGTATTTTATTTTAGGTGTTTAAAAGCATTATTCTGAGGAGTTCATGGGCTTCACCAGACTGCCAAAGGGATCCATAACACACACACTCAAAAAAATTAAGAATTCCTGATTTCAGAGTTTATGACAATAAGAAAAGAGAACCTTGCAGAATGGGTGAACTGAAATCTTAAATGCTCATTTTGTCCTGGGGAGGTGCTGCTATCTCTGATGATCCAAAGACCTCGAGTGTTGGCATGAAATGTTAGAAAGCTAAGACTTAAGAACTAATGGCAAAATGTCCCCTCTCTTCTTTAATACCAACAGAAATCCTATATCTTCTTTTGAGGTGCCTTGTTTTTTGCTATTTTTGTTATTTCTCTGACTAAAATTTGTTGACCCACAAAAGACTCTGAAAATAAAACAGAACAGGGAAAGCTTAGGGTTCTATATGGTGCTGCAGTGGAAGTTAGAAGAAGCCCAATGGCAGAAGGGATAGCGTGTTAGAGGACCAAAAAAAAAAAAAGACCTTTGCATTTTCATTTTCACTCCATATGCTAATGATGATACTGAGATTGCAAACCTGGTTATTTTGAAGTTCAGAAACGGGTTTGAAGGAAAAGATAAGGATTTCTATTTGGAGCATGCTGATACCTATGGGACATTCAGTTCAAAATGCCAATTAAGCATTTGGTGATTCAGGACTGGAGCTCAATACAGAGATGAGAGAGAGAGAGAGAGAGAGAGAGAGAGAGAGAGAGACAGAGAGAGAGACAGAGAGACAGAGAGACAGAGAGACAGAGAGACAGAGAGACAGAGAGACAGAGAAAGGAAGAAAGAGATCTGGGAGTCTGGGAGTCATCAGAATAGACATGACAATTAAGGCAATTTGGGCTGATGAGGTCACCAAATCAGAGAGTAGAGAAAGAAGATAGAATAGGGTGTGGACAAAGCTTTGGGATAGATTCACAATTAGGGAGCATGATATGGATGATGACCTAGAAAGTAACTGAGAAGGAGTGGTCAAGCAGATGGGAGAACCAAGAAGGAGTAATGTTACAAAGACCCAGAGAAAAGAATTTATCAGGAGAGGATGGTCAACAATATGCATTAGATTGTAAGGTCCTTGAGAGCAGGAACTGTCTTTTTTCCTATCCTCAGCATTTAGCACACTGACTAGCACTTAGTGGTTGCTTAATGAATGTTCATTGATTGATTTATTGAAATGCTGTGGAGGGGTCAAGAAACATGAGGACTGAGGAAAGGCCATTCATCAGACCTGGCCATAAAGAGTCCATTGGTAACCTTGGAACGAGCAGCTCCAGTTAAGTAATAAAGTTGGAAACCACATTACAAAGACTTGAGAAGTGAGTTACAAGAGGGGAACGGAGGCAATGCATGTAAACAGAATTTTCCAGAAGTTTTGATGAGAGATTATAGAAAATGATAGCTAGAGGGAATCATGGGAAGAGACTCACAAAAAGTATGTTTTAAGGGTGAGGGAGACAGGTATATTTGTAGACAGCAAGAAAGGTCCCAGTAGATAGGGAGAAATTGAGAGTGAGCCAAGGAATGATTGTGAAAGAAATCTGCTAAAGAAAATGGGGGAGATGGGACCAAATGTATGTGACCTCGGCAAGGAAAAAAAGTTATTTGACTATCAGAGGTTAGAGTAAAGGAAGAATAAAGGGGGATAATGTCAAGAGATGATATGAGCTTAGATGCAAATTGAGATTTCTGGGAAGGGTTATAACCAATGTGAGAATTTGTTTTGCTTAATGAAACATTTTTATAACAGAGTATTTGTTTTTCTTGCTTTCTTAATAGGGGTGGGAGAGAAGTAAAGAAAGCATACATTCATTTGAAAATAAAGTTTTCTTTTTTAAATAAGAGATTATGAATTCTAAAGAAAGGAGAAGAGGGCCTCTATAGTCCCAGTCATAGTCAATGGCCTCTAGTTTCTGAATAAAGTATGAGAAAAGGTCCTCAGCTGAGAGAGTTGGGGAAAGGGTGTAATGAGAGGTTTGAAAAGAGAAGAGAAGGTTGGGAATAGTTATGGTGGGGATGAGACAGCAAATTAATGAGGGGTAAAAAGACTGCCTTACTTCATTGAAAGCCCAGTGGAGATTAGATAACAAAAAATTGTAGTGGACCTAAACATAGTATGACTTCCTCCAGCTCCATTCACCATGAAATAAGTAGGAGCAGAAGAGGTGGAAGTTCTTCTGACAAAGCTCTGTGCTTTAGAATCTCAGCTGATTGGAGAACTTATCAAATTGATCACCAAGACTTCCCAATGATCTCCTGTCAAATGCCTGCTAGACTTTATTTGGGTATTCCATCATCAAATGAAAGTCATGAATGACTAAAACCAAAGTCAATATATCCTTCCCAACCAATCGCCTTTCTCTGCCTCCCCCAAAAAAACCCCACAGTATTCTCTCTCCTAACTTTCTTAGCATTCTTCTAATCAACCAGGTTCAAAACCTCAACTTCTTCTTTAGACCTTCTCCCTGTTTTGTCCTCTCTATTCAGTCACCAAATTTTGTGCCTTAATTAGTTCCCTCCTTGCCATTCCTACTGTCACTTTATACCTGGTCTATAATAATATAAATAAGTATGATTTTTAAAATTTAAGAATATACAATCTCAAAGTTATCAGAACCTAAGGTTTAACATGATCCAGTCCATACCTATAATCTACTCAATGCTTTGATAATAATAATAATAACAATAACTAATATTTATATAGTGCTTTAAAATTTACAAAGCACTTTGCAAATATGATCTCATTTTGACCTCACAATATCTAGGAGATAGGTGCTGTTATAGTCCTCATTTTACCTATGGGGAAACTGAGGCTGAACAGTTAAGTCCAGGGCCACATAGCTTATAAGTGTCTGAGCCTGGATTTGAGCTCAGGTCTTACCTCCCAAACAAGTGTTTATCCATCCTTTGTTTAAAGATCACTACCTAGGTGGCACAGTGGATAAAGCACTGAACCTGGAGTCAGGAAAACTTATCTCACTAATTTCAAACCTGGACTCAGACACTAGTAAGTATGTAACCCTGGAAAAGCCACTTAACTCTTTTAGTCTCAGTTCCTTATCTGTAAAATGAGCTGGAAAAAGATACGGCAAACTACTCTAATATCCTTGCCAAGAAAACCCCAAATGGGATCATGAAGAGTAGTACATGACTGAACAAGGACAACAGTAACAAGTGAAGAGAAACTTTGAACCCAAATCCATTACACCTTGGGATAATATAATAAAATTTTTTTTTCTTACATCAGTCCTAATATACTCCCTTTCAATTTTCACCTATTGCTCATAGTTTTGCTCTCTGATGCCAAGAAGAACAAGTATAATTTCTCTTCTACAATGCAGTCCTTCAAATCTTTGAGGACATCTATTATGTCACCCCCACACCTTCTCTTCTCTAGGTTAGATATGCAAAGGTCCTTCAATTCTCATAGGGAAAGCAATCAATGGTTTTGACTAACCTGCTTATTTGCTTCCTTACTCTTCAACTTATTAAGATGCTTTATAAAATGTGATATCCAGAACTAAACATAATACTCAAGATGTGTTCTACCAAGATGGAGTACAGCAAAACTATCACCTCTTTATTCCTGAAAGTTATGCCTCCCAATGCAGCCCACAATTTCATGAGCTTTTTTGCTGCTATATAATACTAACATTTATATAGTGCATTAACACTTACAAAGAGCCTTACACATGTTAACTCATTTGATCATCCCAACAACTTCGTGAGTGTAAGTTGCTATTATTATCTTTATCTTACCTTGAAAGAGGTTAAGGGATTTGCCCAGAATCACATAGCTAGTAATTGTCCAAGAAAGAATTGGAACTTGGGTCTTCCTGATTTCAAGTGTGGCACTCTCTGCTATGCCAGCTAGGAGCCTATGTCACACAATTGATACATACTAAGTTTACAATGCACAGAAATTCCAGATTTTCCCCAGAAAACTTCTGTCTTGCCAACAATATTTTTTGATCACTGCTCTATAATCCAACATACTAGTTTTACCTCCAATCTCTACATCCTCTATATATTAGGTAAACATGCCTTCTATGACATTACTGATGATCCTGGAGGTGGGGGGTAGGGCATAGAAGGGGGAAGGAAGGAAATGGTGAACAGCATAGGGCCAAGGACAGATCCCCAGGATGCTCTAATTAAAAACTTCTCTCCAACTCAACACTGACACGTTAATAATCTTTGGATCCAATAATCCAACTACTTCAAAGTCATGACTATATTATTGTCTAATCCAGTCTCTCCATCTCATCCACAAGGATACCATGAATTTGTCAGATGCTTTGCTGAAATCAATGTAAATGATTTGCACAGAATTCTTCTGATAGATCAAGTCTTGTTACCTTATCAAGAAAGAAAATGGGTTAGTCTGCAATTACTTATTCTTGACAAAGTCATGCTAGCTTTTAGTGATCACTGTTTCCCTTTCTTGATGTTTGTGTCATTCCTTTAATAATAGTTTAGAATTTTGCCAG